GACCAAACCTTTAGAGGGTGAAGTTATCCTCAACGCAACCATGTAAACTTAATGTATCGCCCAGTGTAATAACGGTCATCTGTGCGTTCAAGTTACCAGATTTTGTCACTTCATAATGTATTTTTAATTAAATAACTAGATTATGTTGTTAATTTTGCTCCGTTTTTAATTTTTGTTCGCAACGTCTGACTGCGTTACACTGTACGTCCATTGAACGCTGGAATAATATCTCAAGTCATAGTTAGTTTATTCAGGTAATGTGTGTATTCAACAACATCATTATTCTGTACCATTGTAGTTTTATGTTTACACTCCTCAAGTTTGTTAATATAGTTAACCACAATTTTTCATTTTAGACACTCGTAAATATGCCGCATTTCTACTTTTTTGATCCTCTTGTTCCTGTAAAAATGTCAGTGTTTTGGAAGACCGAAAGTATCATCTTTATTTACCGCGCGCCATTCAACGTGAGGTCATTGCGCGCAGGTGGAAATAGCTAAGGTGACTACAATGATGAACTGAATTCCTCAGCAACTGTAGATGCCTATGTACCCTCTGTGTATTCTGAAGTAAGTCACTGAAGGCTGAGGACATCTTCGCTTACTTTTTAAAAGTTATCCAAAATTAATATGAGCAGTGGGATTTAGGCAAAGCGCAGTCTAGACTTTAGGCAGGCTTCCTCAAAGTTCGCAGAAAAAAACCAAAATCCGTGTCACCTAGCACCCCACGAAAACGGTTAACAACCAGTGTTATTCTTAATCTTTTCAAGACGAGGTAGCAATTATTAACAATACCCAGTCTCCCGATTCGGGGGAAGATTCGCTCCGTTTAGAGGATATTTTGGGGAAGCCGCTATAGACAATTTTGAAGAAATGGTACTAAAACCCTGGACTTTCCACAGATGTGGGGAAATTCCCCAAATTTTTGGGTTTTTCCTCAATATTTTCCTAAATTTCCCAAGAATTTTATCATATTTTGGGGAAATCGGTCTATATGTCAATAAAACCACAAAACTCCACAATTTTGGGTAAATTTTGCGTTCTCCTCTGATATTTTCCCCAAACTTCGGAGATTTCTACTGTTTCACCAGAATTCCATTACACTCTGATGGAATCCGTCTATATTTATGAAATCGCAAAATTTCCCTCAATTTCGGTGAGATTATCCAAAATGTCTCGTTTTAACTCAATACTTTTCCACAATTTTTGACAGATATCACGGAAAAGCCTGGCGGTAGTCTTTATTTTTTATTAAATTGTAGGTGGTCCCACTACCGAAAGATCTCTGTCTGTTCATCTCTCAATGAAGCAACAGCTAGACAGAGTTGTAATTCAGATGATAAAGGGAAGTGACATAATTGTATACAGGGCCAACGGAATTCTGGACCTTTTTTTGGGTATATATTCCTGAACTGTCCATGTCCTTCCGAAGTGTACTTAGTCGTTGCTATAATGTGAAACCCAAGTTTCTGGACACAGAATTGCACTACCGCATTGAACTGAAGTCAAGTTTACTGAGGATTTTCGAAGATTGGCTAGGTAAATTCAGTTTTAACGAATTGAGTATGCAACTCAATTACAACGGTCTGTCGTTCAAAAGCTCTAACCAACAGTTGTGATCAATCCTAGAACGCCTAGTAAGTCCATTCCTTAGTGAAGTATTCATAGTTGGTGAATTAAAACTCTGTTTTCAACGAAATGTCCTCAGCACTTGTAACTGAGTTAAATGAGTTGCTGACAGTAGGCCTTCATGTAAATAAGTGTCAATTACATTAGACAGTAAAGTTAGTAGCTGTTATTTGTGACACTGCAACTCGTAGCAACGTCAGGTATGTCGTTGGACATAAGGATACAACTGGTTGTGATAAATGTAAGGTTCTAGGGGCACGACTAGGTGGTCGAATGACTTTCCCCAACAGTGAGTATGAATCGAGAAATGCGCACAAAATTTTCGACATTTAGCCTGATCTAGAGAAATAGTAGACTTGTCTTTAACTGCATTCATCAAGACACTTTAGGATACATCCAGTGTCATTCACTGGCCACTCATGTTCATCAATCAGCACTTTCTTACTAATCTATGCAGAATCACGGTCTTAAGGTTTTATTTGCCTACAATTATTGTTCGGAATTCTTGCGATAGTGTGACTGCTGCATACGACATCAACCCATGCACTTCCTAAACAACTTGTTTGTGTATTAACTGCGAATTAAAATATGCATGAATTGTGCTTACTAACACCAGAAATGTCTGAATTGGACGTTGATGTCGTTGAAATGTTTCATAATGGGGCCAAACTTTCCGAATAAATTGTTTGTTACGCATATACCAACATTCCCACCTGGATGTACTGCATTAGATCAGATGTTACGTATTCGGTAGAAGTTGTGTGAATTATTATTCTTTTAAAATAGGAGACATTACCAACCCCTAGTTATGTCTAATGAACGCCGGATAAATCGCTAACGTCTATTTCTTTTCAGCTAAGTATAATAATACTTGCTGGTTACAATGTAGACATGTGACTGGTATCCTAATATTGTGAACATTTTTACAAACTAGAATTTATAGAAATAATTGGTTTTGTACAGATGATTCGTAGGTAAGTTAGTTTCCCTGAAGAAATAATAGCGAATGTCGGAAATATTCAGTCTATAAGTATATAACTTGGTGTGAATTTAAGCAAAGTTTCACTATTTCTTACGCTTGGCGAAAAGAATGGAAATCTGAAGCCTTGTTGCTTAAATTTACAACAAATTTCTCATTAAATACCGCCTTTTTTTGTCATTTTTTGATAGAAATTCAGAAATACAAATGCAAAGGACAGATACTACTTCAACAAATAAAAATAGATAGAAGCCATAAATTGGCCAAAATTTTCGTCTGGTTTACTGCTTGTTTTATCTAAATTGATTTTTAATTAATCTTATCCCGCACATTATTGACGTATCTTTTTGTTTAAGCATCCAGTTGACGATAAATATTCCTTATCACTCCGTACATACTCTATATATTTAATAGGTAAATCGGCTGTCAGAAATACGTAAATTAAGTAATAACTGAGGTTATCAATCCCAGTTTTTTGTGGTGTCCAGTGTAATAAATTTATTATTTAATGTCAGCATATGTCATGGATTTTAACGACGGTTTTGCTTCATAGACTTACTTTTATTACTGTACGCATGACATTTATTTAAAAATTGGTACAAGGGTCACCAAATACATATGCGCCACACAATAACAATGAGGTTATGGAGAGATAGAGAATATAGGGAGTGTATAACAAACGAACAACAACAAACCGAAATTAGTGTACGAGAGTGGAATGGAATCATGGGCTTAGTCTTTTCAATCAGGTTTTCTCAATGGTTACCTCTATTCTCTGTCTTAAAATTATACTGTTGGATTCACCTCTATATGGTAGATAGATATAAACTTTTTTCTTCGGAATCGAATAAATGAGACGGCTTAGCGTTGACTGCCTTTTGCACCTATTTATAAACTTTAGTGAATAGCCACTTGATATTAGTGTGTCAATCAGCAGCTTTTCATCTCCTTCAACCGTATCAGTGGTGCATAATCTTCGAATCCTATTAAAGAGGCACGTAACCAAGCCTCGCTTGTGTTGAAATGAACAGAAACTATGGGAATTTAAATATTGCCGCGCCTAAGTTGGTTTCCTGCAAACTGACCGTCTCATAGTACCATCCTCCCTTCGATTCAAAAGTATGCCTAAAAAGGGCAATTAATCATTATTTTCTGTTTCATAGGTCATTACGATATCGTTCAATACCCCATTGAGTTTATCTAATAACTGGTGAACTTGAAAATCTTTATCACATATAACTAATGTATCATCCATGTATCTTCTATATAGAGTTATCTCGCTGATGAGTTCACTTGTCATATTTTCAACATATGACATAAATACATCAGCTAAGAGAAGCCCCAAAGGACTACCCATAGCAACATCATCAACTTGCCGAAAATATTCGCATTCAAATGTGAGCTGAACATTTCCAGTACGTAACAAAAGTAATTCTTCCAATAGTGTTGACTGAATAGGAAAAAAGGGGTAATTATTAGATATATAATCACAAAGGAAATTCATAGTCTTAGTCAATGGTACACTCGTAAAAAGAGAGTTTACATTAAAGGAATGCAAAGTCTTATCTTTAATATTAATGTCCTCAAGAAGGTTAATTAGTTCAAATGTATATTTTAAGGAAAACTTACATAGCTTATTACGGATTGGGTTTAGCAATTTTACCAACCATTTTGCTAGTTATGTGTAGGTGAACCACGCTTAGATAATTTTGGTCGTAATGGATTATTATCAGGTTCATGAATTTTAGGCAACCCATATAAATTCAGGAGAACAGAACCGGAAGGCTTCAGCATATTCGTTTTCTACTTTACTCTGAGTTCCAAATTAAAAACTTTTCGTCGTACAACCTCATGGATTCCCTTTTGAATTGTACATTTCTCTTTTTCAGGTTTCATTTGATACTAACTCTTGTCCTCTGCATTTTGTCTCATAAACTTTCTTTTGCTATGCTTATATATTTAACGATTTGTGCCGACACACCATCCATGCTTAGTAGTCCTATGTTGATGAATAATTAGCTTAGTTTTAAAGTTGAAATCACTAACCAAACAGTTGCACAATCGTTGAAATCCGAGAAGGTTGTGGATACTCACTACTGAAGAATTTCATACTAAGACAAAACAGTAGTTCAGTTACTTCTGGTTTTCAGTGGTTATTTAACTGAGATTATTCTTTAGTGTAAACTATAAAATCCGACATTCCCCATAAATCCTTCGCACTAACAACTTACTGCTTGTTATAATTTTTTTTAGTTCCACTTATAAATAAATGTCTGTCATTCAAACAGTCTATTTTCTCATCACATTTTGCTTCAAAATGTATGTATGTCTATCTCTATGACAACCCAATAAATATAAAATAACACTGAACAAACAAAAGTTAGTTCCGATTGATGAATCGATTAATTAAAATCAGACGATTATTTCGAACATATACATTTTTACATATTTTTCTAAAAATAAACATTTTATCAATTTTCATATATTTTCTTCTAACCATAATTAACAACTATCGATTTCCCAATATAAATTATCATGCATCTACTATACGAGATCGTGAAGAATTACGATTAGCTCATCTACGCACATTAATGTACGATTGGTACCATCAAGGAAAAATACCGTTTGTTTACCAACCACAACAATCATCATTGTCGATTTTAAGTAATAAACATGGTATTGTCATTAGTATCATGACGTCGAATCGTGTTCAATATCAAATTGATGATTATCAACCGGATTATTTAACTCAATCTTTATCAACCTTAATTAAACTAATATTTGAAGATATTTCAGAGTATGGTTACCGATTTAAATATATCAATATAATGATCTGTTTAAATGGAACCAAAATAAATGAATTGTCTAATGTACATGAAATTATACGACTTGTTGGTCAGCATGCAATTCATCCATTGCGCTCTAATCGATTATCAACTTATAGGAATTTATCTGTTAATTATCAATTTGTGAGAGATATGTCAACCTGTATGCTGAAATCAGTTGATTTAGTTAAAAAACAAGAACATAATCATAGTGATTATATACTTATCATACAAGAGGATATGATTGCAATGAATAATTTATTTGATGTACTATGGGGATTAATGCAACAATCTATGAATAATATTCGTCATTATCATGACCATCATAGACTTGGTATGATCCAATTGTATTCACATAAAAATGTAATGAGATTTCCATTTTATCATAAAATTGATAGACAATTATTTGAGTTAACATTTGCTTGCCTACTATTCATTACATTCATTGCATTTTTTATTTATTTACATGTAGCATTCAAACAATCATCATCACAGTATGGATTATATAAATTCTATTTAATGCTTAACTTATTCTTTACATTGTTTACTTTAATTTGGTTGTATGGATTGAATAATTTATTGATTCGATTATCTAATTTATTTATCTCTTATAATGGTGTTTTTCAACTCAAAAGTCAATCATACTATGCTAAAACTGATATGATTATGGCTAATTTATATTCAAGTATACAAGTTAGACAAATCAGTCATTATCTAAAATCAGTTGCGCCATGTGAAAATTCCTTATGGTATTTAAAACAGGATGAATCAAAATGTGCTCAATTGATCACATCATATCTTGTGTCAAATGCTAAACAAATATTTAGTGTATATATGAATGTATTTAAACATTGTGGATTGTATTCGAATGAAGAAAAAAGAATGCTGAATCCAGCTGATGTCGAATAATATTGGTAGTAATAGCGTGTTGTGTCTTTCTTGAATAGTTCTTCGCTACCCAGAAATAGATTAAATTTTGTTGAGTTTTGTACTTTCGTTTTTTTCTCTTTCCGTAAACGGTGTGTGTCTGTCATAACTTGTCATCGTATCAACCCCGACCGTAACTGTGAGCATAAAGTAGTGGTCAATCTTACATATCATGATGACCCAATCGAATTATATCGTCTATGATATTTGTTCCAACATACTGAGCAGGTCAGTTAAAGAGCGATTAGACTATAAACATCAAACTTATGGCCAAGGAAAAAGTCGTACTGGGGTGTGACAGTAGTTATGTGCTTCTCATCAACAAACAGCACGATAGCTATCTTGCGTCTTTACAACAGATAAAGCGAGTTTGAAAAGATTGGGATTAGACATAGCTAAACTTACCTTATCTTACTGATTTTCGTCCTCTAAAGTACAGAGGTAACATTAAAAACAACTCGCTAAAAGCCCGTGTATAACCGATCTGAAGTTCTCACTTAGCTGCTGCAGTCACTCTCCTAGATCACCAAAACTACTACTAACCCAGTTTCATTTTCAGCTGCCTCAGAAGCAATTATCCATGCACTATGCGAGCAACCGCAAAGTGAAAACCGCCGTCATACCCTGTCACTCAATATTACGTTGTTCACAATTGAACATCATCCGTGCTACCTAATATTTCTTTTATCATTACTATCCATCCTTATCTGTCTTCAAATTCTTCCACACGTATCATCAGCACTAATGGTTCGAGTTTAAAAAATTCTATCCCAGATTCCCTGAAATCATCCTCTGAACTACATGGTATAAGTTCTAGGGTCCTAATTCGAACAGTAGATATCACTAACCAGTACTCTATAAATCTTGTGACATCGATCGATGTTGTCTCCAAAAGACAGAGGATCTTAACGTAGTTTTTCACACTATCACAGATACCACGATTATCTGAACCCCTTCACTACTTAACTTGTCAACTTCCTAGCACGGCGTAGATCAAGAGTCATTGTTTTCATTGCTTAACAACTAATATCTAATTTCTTTTGTTTAAAGGGAAATTAACATGTAATAACAGAAGTGAAAAATAATAGTAATTTTCAGTTATGCAGTTTTAAAAATGAAAATAGACCATTCGGTTTTTTATGTCCGTTCTCCCTGATTACATCATTTATCCATTTGGTGAAGTAAGAAACGCGTGTGAATATTGCCGGATAATCAGCGGGTAGTTTGGAGTGTGTTGCTGAAACAATACCAGCTAATCTGTATTCACCATCATCTTCACAGACCAACGGTCCACCACTGTCACCCTAAAAGATAGTTTTTTTTAAAGATTAATTAATGTGATCATGGCAGTCAAAACTGAATAATCATTGGTTTGTCCTATGATCTTGAGTTTTACACTTGATTATCATTGGTTAGTTGACAAATAAACAGTCGTAGTAATTCGGTTGAATATTTTGTATGTAAACCACAAACTTGGTTTCTAATAAAGATTTATAAATTTCAGTTAGTGTTTCTATCTCCTGAAGTCTACTCAGTTATGATTCAGAGATTGTACCAATGATCATATTATCACTCCGGTCACCTCAGTCATTCCAGTTACAACTTTATCAATTCCGGTGGGCTATTATAACAAATAACACATTCACATAGCCTTCATGAAGGAATATGTTCTCATATTATTTTTGTAAATGAAAATGCTACACCTAATGAATACAGTTTTCATGCTACGTTTCTGCGCAACTCAGACAATTGGTTCGAATTTCATCGATGAACTTTAACGTGTAGTGACTTTCTCGTAAAGGTTTTGATCGATATCTTTTACAACAGAGGGGTTGAAGTAATTTTGAGGAAATTTCTCGCTTTCAGTGTAGTTTCCCAGAAATCATAGCTTATTCTATAAACCTTCACCCTAAAAGTCGATTGGTATAGTTAGATTTTCAAAAACTTCAACAAATTTGTCGATAGGACTGGAGTTCTATGGTTTTCTTCAATTGGCCCTAGTGTAGCTAAAACTAATCCTTGGCTTTGATAAAGCTTTTCGAACAGCTTGTGAGGACGTTCCTCTAAACTAATACCCACAATTGGTATGAAATCATATCATCTTTACGAACGTTTTTTCTTCACAAAATAAAGCTCCGACTGAAATGGAACCCACACAGATCAGTCATAATCAGAGTAGATGCTTACAAAAATTTGCATTAGCTTGAGTTGACGTATCATATTAGCATGACAAGTTGAAATTGACAGGATAAATAGTAAAATAGTCGAAATAATCGTGGTATCAATGATACTAAAGAATATTAAGCATTAAGAGTATGGTTCAAGAAAGCGTACTGAAAAGGTATGCACAAAGGAATACTGGGACTCAAGATCTAGAGGAAGATGAAAACTGAGTTCATATACATCACTATGAGTAACTCCAACCACTGGTTGTGGTTACTGCCCGAACTCTAGTCTAGTAGTCTGGATCTACCAACACTCCTCAGACTGACAATGACTGACTGATATTATATCTTGATTCGGTCTCGCCTGTCTATACAAATGATGCTAGTTAAGCCAATCAAAATATCAACCTGCAACTGGATCCAAACCCCTAATTTCGTAACTGAGTAGTATTAGTTGAGATTAGATGGTGGTTGGAGGTAGTCAACAGGAAACCCTGGACCCGGGTTTCGTGCTACTTGGCACTCGTCAACAAGGTGTACCTGTAATCTTGAGGGGATTGGTGCTCCCTGGCGGAATAAGGACTAGACAAGCGTGACATTGATCACCACCCAGTGATCAATCAATTGTGATTACATCTCAGTCCTACAGGAGGTCAGTCGCGGCTCGGATAGCTCAGCGGTAACGTCTCTAACTGTGAAGCTGGGTGACACGAGATCGAATCCGCCAGGGAGCACCAGTTCCCTCAAGATTACAGGTACACCTTGTTGACGAGTGCCAAGTAGCACGAAACCCGGGTCCAGGGTTTCCTGTTGACTACCTCCAACCACCATCTAATCTCAATACATAGTGCCCACAGTGTCGAGTCACCTAGACTGGTGGCCACATTGCAACATGATCGATAGCATTCGATCTACACTAATAAGGACTAGACAAGCATGACATTGATCACCACCCAGTGATCAATCAATTGTGAGTAGTATTAGTCGATGAAGCAGTTGGTCTACGGTTTAGTACTTCATCTCCATGTGTATAAATTAATCTATTAGCAGTAAATGTCCCGAGTAATAATTTAAATTCAAGTACGAAAAGAAACGAACGAAATACTAACTGACTTTATAAACGAACAGTGGCAAAGACAGTCAGCAGTGGTTGATAGTTATTAAAGTACATTTGAGAAACTAGTCTGAAAGTAGTAATAATTACCAAATGGGATCATCAAGCAATCTAAAAGAATTGGTAATTTTTCAAGAAACCTATTATCTGGTCTCTGCGAAGCATTATATGTATTTGATAGAAGCTTTAGGACCACAACTGTAGAGAAATTATAATCTTTTGGTTCGACTGTTTGATTTTCTAGGTGTTTTGTGCATAGATAATTTGGTAACTGGAACAGATACACATATATATTTAAGTTGCCACGCTTCACCTCGATATAGTGTGATGAGACCATCAGGTAAGAATGAAAATACTATCATCCGCGAGAGGGTAAGAACAATATATATGAAATATTTCGAAATTAATAATTACATTTTCTCAAATTATATGAAACTCACTATACCGCAGGTGGTTAATGGCCTTATCTTAATCCTTCATAATCATATTTGGAATTGGCATGCCCTTATATCCTCTACAGTGACCCAATTTTATGTGTTTACAACAAAAACTTACTATTACTTTCACCAACAATACAACAACAAATGAGTAAATTAGTGCGCTTTTGTCGTATAAATTTAAATTGTGAATTTTGCGATAAAAATTGTGGAAGAGCTGTTACTTGGTAGAATACTTTTGTTGTTTTTATGTTTTATGAACTGAGTATCTGATAAGTGATCACCACGGGACCTGAAGGTCCTGAGTTAAATCCCTGACGAAATCATTCATTCACAATGCTAAGAAGGAGATGAAACGGCGGCCCAGTTCTCCCTGGTTGCTGCTACCTTGACGTGATGGTCGAGCTTGCCTATCATGATGAACCAATCGAGCTATACTCGCTGGAACAATCGTTCCTCAATGTCCTACCATGCAAGACAGGTCGGTTGAAGAGCTGTAAGGTCTGAGGTCGAAGTCGTACTGCTGACTGTACAGAAGTAGTGACGGCAGCAAGGTGTCTCCTTCAGACGATCAGCATAACAGCGATGCTGCCTTCCCACAAGTAGGGGTGGGGTTGGAAAAGGCCGACCTAGAAAATACACACCTCACCTTATCCCACGGATTTCCGTCTCCGGCGGTAAGGTCCCGACAAGTATGAAGCTAACACGAATAGTAATCACAAAAAGGTCGTGTGTAACCGACCTCAAACAGTTGTCTCTTGGGTGCTGCGGTCACGCTTTCAGGTCACTAAGACCACCTCTAACCCAAGTTCCTTTTCAGGTATCTCTAAAAGAACTCTTCCACGATTTGGGCAACCGGGGAGTGATAACCGCCCTCATACCTCTAACAGTACTCAAGATCACTAAATTCATAATCAATCTCCCTCTTCAATACCTATTATTCATCCTACATCGACTTTCAACTCTGGAATTCCTCTTTTGACTTCTTCTTCAAATATCACCATGGCCAACGATTCCAGTGCGCGAAATATTGTCCCAAGTCTACTGAAACCTCTCTCCAGACTACACGTTGGTGCCTTCAACATACGTACCCTATGTCAAATCGGCCAGCGATTCTCCTTGGCTAAGACCCTACAATTTCATACCATTGATGTATGCTGTGTCTCCGAAACAGGCATACAGGATCCTAGTGTGGTCTTTCACTTAACCTCATCTCGCCAAAATGGGGAGCCGACGAGATACACCCTTCGTTCATCTGGCGATCAG